CACGGAGGGAGCAGGCACTCAGACGCTGCCTCCCCCGGCCCACGGGCACGGCACTCCACAGAGCCACATTCCGCAAAAATCTACCCAACCCTCAGTACTGCTGCTAAGAAAAATAAGAATAAAAGCAGGTAACTAGTTTCCATTGAACGAAGTTGGCAAACATTCTTAAGGTTTGACCCAGCTAGTAAATATGGGGAAAGAACTTTCAACTTGTTCAGCCTCTCCAGTAATTGCATTCAGACCCCGAAAATGTTCATTCCACTTGTAGAAACTCATCCCTAGAAATCATTCAGAATGGTACACAATTTTACATGGACTATTCGCAACAGAGTTTTAATACCAAATTGGGAGGGCAGCAGTCTAAATGTCCCACAGCAACGGACAGGTAGAAAAGACATTCTCGCACCAGGTCGTCTTGTTTTGGAAGAAGACAATGACGCGTGGGCCCGTCTCCTGGTCCGCAGTGCAAAGAGGCGAGTGCGGCAACTGAGCCACGGACAGAGTTGGTGCTGCCCCGAGGGGAGACCATGGACAGAGCTGGCGCCACACGGCAGGGGGACAGGGGCCATCGCACCCCCACGGGATGAAAGCACTCAAGGGTTTCATTTTGTACTTCATACTCTATTATCTAAATACACACAGATTACTTTTATAATTAGACGATCATCTTTTTATGTCCTTGACAAGACAGGAAGTAGCCTCTGCCCTCTCGGGAGGGGCCTCACCTGCTCCAGGGGACTCAGGTTCCTTCCTCAGCTCCAGGCTGTCACAAACCCCTCATCCAGTGCCTCCAACTGCCCCAGAAAGGAAGCTTCTCTCCTCCCACTTCTCTGAGAAAGAAGCTGTGCAAGTTGCAGCTACACAGCCAAGTGAAGGTGACACTGCATGGGGCACTGACCATATTCCCAACCACAACCACTGAAAGGTTTTATGACCAGCTTTAGACTTTCACCACTGCAGAGGGGGAAAATGTCAACTGTTCTGACTTAGTAAACTACATACATACTTAAAATCACGTGTCATGTAAACTCCTGATTTAGAAATACTGCTTTCTTCCTTTTTGCATCCCATGAAACAGGTTCGCTCAGTCTACACACACATCCTTGGTATCTTTCCGACACCACAGGCCTGCTGTGCTCAACAGAGAAAACCGCCTTCCCTTGTCTGCAGTGCACGGGGATGAACACAGGACGCTGGGGACTTTCATCCCCAGTCACAATGGCCCACGACCACCCATCATCTCCACGTCTTGTAACTGCCACCCCATCCCTCCCCTGGGGGGAGGCTGCACCCCAGGGATGACGCCACGCCTCTTCTAGACCTGCACTCCTGGCAATGGGCCTGTCAGGTGACCCCCACCGGCACCCCAGACCACCACTGAGGGTGGTCACTTCAGGGTCGGAGCTCTTCTGTGCCCAAACAGTGGTGCACGCTGCCTCAGAGAAAGCCAGAGTCTGAGGAGTCCGAAGACTTCCCTGGGTCCTCCATCTGAGGACTAAAGACACGCATGAAACACGTAACAGTACCCCGACAAACCCCTCAGAACCCACCAGCCACGCACCAAAAACACGCCATGGAAACTTACCTAGACATGAGGACGGCAGCTGCATCTCGGGCCTTGTCACTGACGATCAAGTAGGACTGCAAGAAAGGGGGAAGCACAGGCACGGTCACTGCTGCACACGCCAGCCTCGGGGACCCCATACAGTCGCAAAGCAGGCATGGTCAGTCCTGCACACGCCAGCCTCAGGGACCCCAGTCACCAGTCCCACCCTCACCAGCTTCCTGAGGGCCCAGATTCATAAACCTTACCAGCACAGGCCTAAGTCCAAAGCTGCAAAAAAAAACCTGTCTTCAATCTGAGCCAAGGGCTACAGCTGCCAACTGCTACACTCAACCAGGTAAGTGCCTGAGCTACACACAGCATTTGGTCACACCCCCTTGAAACACACATTTGCAAGAACAGAGCAGGAAAATGTAAACAAAGGAGCTACCCAATTGTAACAAAGAATCAAGAGTATTCATCCAGCACCTAATGTGCCTTCCAGCACACTGAACCATCAGTACTGGAGCATTCAGACTAGACAAGAGGCCCCATCAAACTGAAGAGCACCTAGATTTACTACAAATGCTTACTTTTTTTAATTTTTGGTTTTTTAATTTTGGGGGTACAGAGTAGATGTATACACTTTTTTTTTTTTTTTTTTTTTTGAGACGGAGTCTCATTCTGTTGCCCAGGCTGGAGTGAAGTGGCGCCATCTCAGCTCACTGCAAGCTCCGCCTCCTGGGTTCACGCCATTCTCCTGCCTCAGCCTCCTGAGTAGCTGGTCTTGGGGTTTTTTGTTGTTGTTTTGAGATAGGGTCTTGCTCTGTCGCCCAGGCTGGAGTGCAGTGATGCGATCAAAGCTCACTGTAGTCTGGGCGCCGTGGCTGACACCTGCAATCCCAACACTTTGGGAGGCTGGGGCACGCAGATCACCTGAGGTCAGGAGTTTGAGACCCGCCTGGTCAATATGGTAAAACCCCGTCTCTACTAATGATACAAAAATTGGCCAGGTATGATGGCGCATGCCTGTAATCCCAACTACTCAGGAGGCTGAGGTGGGAGGGCTGCTTGAGCCTCGAAGGCAGAGGTTGCAGTGAGCTGAGATTAGACCACTGCACTCCAGCGTGGGTGATAGGGCAAGACTCCATCTCAAAAAAAAATTCACCGCAGCATCAACCTCCTGGGCTCAGGTGACCCTCCCGCCTCGGCTTCCGGAACAGCTGGGACCAAAGGTGTGTACCACCACACCTGGCTAATTTTTTTTTCATTTTTTGGTAGAGATTGAGTCACATTATATTGGCTAGGCTGCCCTCAAACCCCTGTGCTCAAGCTACCCTCCTGCCCTGGCCTCCCAAAGTGCTGGAATTACAGGCATGACACTACCATGCCCAGCTACATTTATTTTTGGGAGGGCTGCCTTAAAATGTTTCCAATGCTTATCTTGGCTAGTTTTTTTTTCCCAAAACAATACACTATACACTTAAAAGATCTTTTTTCTGGGGCAGGCTTTTTTCTTTTTTTTGAGACAGAGTCTTGCTCTACTGCCCAGGCTGGAGTGCAGTGGTACAATCTCGGCTCACTGCAAGCTTCACCTCCCAGGTTCAAGCAGTGCTCTGCCTCAGCCTCCCGAGTAGCTGGGATTACAGGCGCCAGCCACCATGCCCAGCTAATTTTTGTATTTTTAGTAGAGACGGGGTTTCGCCATCTCGTCCAGGCTGGTCTTGAACTCCTGACCTTGTGATCCACCTGCCTCAGCCTCC